CCCCCCCCCGCCCCCCCGTAATTGAGATGAAGTCTTCTTCTCCGTAATCGTTTTTAAAAATTGTTGTCTCACCAGTCAGTTACGCCATTCCTTAGTGGTGCACTCCGTATGGAGAGTGGAGTCATGCTGTTCACCGTTAATGGATATTAATTCCCGCTATATCTTCGGAGTATTTCCTCCCACCTAGTTAGGTTTTATAATAATTCAGGATCTATCAATGCTGAGACGTTAATAATGAAGGTAGAAAGTAGCTTACCTTTTAAAATATTGATAATGAAACCTAACACCACCCCACTCCCCGGGGGAGGAGTAGAGTACCACGAGTAGTTTCCCACAGTTCCGTTCGTTGGTCTCTTGAATTTGACTTTATAGTTCTTCAAATCATCTAAGGTGATAATACCACCTCCATCCTTAATGTCTTGTACAATATCTTTGGCAAGTTCACCGTTGTAAAAGTCCTCAGGGTCATTCCGGATTCGTTCCAAGGTTTTGGCAAACTTTGGCATGTACAGTAATTCTCCTGGCTTTTTTAGCTCGCCGTCCTTGTTAAATAGAAGATCCCTTCAAAAGCAAACAAAAAACTTAAGTCAGTTCAGTTACGTTTTTACAAACGAAGTTTGCAGTGCAGGTTTCGAATTAACGACATTCCTAATCTGTAGGTTGTCAGTAAAACTGATAAATATATATATGTTTTTTTCTGTTTACGGTGGCTCAAAACAGTTTCCAGCACTCTTCGATTCAAGACGTAGATTTTGAAATATTATTACCACTTTTTATCAGTTGATGCTACGATTATGTTATCAAAAACGCCCCAATCATTGATGAACACGTTTGCAGCGTTTTCGTGACACTATATGTTACCCTTGCAACAGTTTCACCTGCTAAAAGCACCCTTTGAGTTTTGGCTATAAATGTATATATTTCGAATTTTATCAAATTTTGATAAGCAGAATAAGATGCAACTTTTAGCAAAGTTTTTAAAAAAATTCTGCGCATGGGATTCAGGGCCATTATAATTTTGGAAAATTTAATAGAATAGATTTTTTGTCTGTTAATGTGAACTTCTTTACGACGCTCACCTGAATCCAGGAATGGCTTTGAAAACCGGTGAACGTCTTGCCGTTGATGAAGCCGCGCTGTAAGCGGCGTAACCAAACGGAAATCCATTTCTCGCCATGTCAATGGCAGGCTGAACAAGATCCACCCAGTGCAGTTTACCGTACTTCTTCCAGGCTTCAAAGAATCCTTTCACCTCACCGGGGACACCAGCGGCCGCTGCGCCTATTTACAAAAGAATACACAACATGTGTGTACCAAGAAAATACAAGTGACAAGTGGGATATTTCGTGGTATATCACTCGAAAGCGTTGCATGTAACTATTTTATATCATGCCACAGAAAATACAGTGGCCCGCACAATCAAAGTGGCATATACGCGCAGCGCACGACGAGAAGGTTAGGTGCAATACCGTCAGGTATATAACGGCTTTCCTGTATTCGGATTGGCTGTATTTTCTATGGCATGGTATAAATACCAAAACATTATACCACTGCGCGTCTCCTTCTCGCTCTTTAACGGAAACAGCAGTGTATTACTTGGAGAGCTAAATTTAACTTAAAAGTGTCTCACTCCAAAGAGAAATAGTTCTAATACTTCGTTTAATCTTAAGTTGTATATGCTAAGATTCGTTCTTTCTCGGCAAGAATCGCACGCAGGCAGCTGTCCTCTGCTGGGTGTATTTGAAACTTACAATAAAGGACCAGTCTTCATTTACAAAATGTAGCTCACCTAATTTGGAGCTCATTCTCCCTCCAACATACATCGTTTTAGTAGCTTTCCCTGGAGCCTCCTCACGAAAGTCGATCGCCTCTACAAACCTCGTACTCTTCTTGTATACCATCATAAACCCGCCCCCACCCACTCCAGCGGAATGCATGTTGTATACACCAACACAGAACAAGGCTGCAATCGCCGAATCCATGGCGGAACCTCCTTTCTTTAAAATGTCCCGGCCAATCTCCGAGCAGGGACCGGCATCCGATGCTACTACGGCATTTTTGTAGGGGCCATCCGCCTCCGGGGGTCCGGTCGGTGGTGGTAGTATAGGTTTCGGGGTTGGTGTCACGCTTGGTTGGGGTTTGGTAACAGGTTTGTCCGCTTTGGACTGCTTTTCTCTCGTGAAGACAACAGCGAGCGCAATGATGATTGTCAGCAGAATTACAGTGACTACCACGAGAGCAATAATGAGAGGTCGCTTATTAGGTCTACGAGTTAAAAAAAGGTAAATGAGAAATCTTTCTTAGAAATAACGAAGAAGGAAATATACAGCTCACACTTACATGTATTCAGAAAATGATCAGACAGTTTTGTTTTAAAATGAGTTTTTAAATGAATTTTTGTAGTCAATTCCTCTTCTAAGGGGTGTTCCACTTGTTTTCGTGGCTGTGCTGCCCATACCACTTGACCATTTCTTGAGTAAAACAAGAACCTCCATTCCCCCAGAATTATGTTAATCAAAACGGTTTCATATGTTAATGTCTGCAAATAGCTGCGTTGTCATTGGTATTGTTATTGAGTTATATTACGAATTATATGGTTCACTGACGCAGTCGTCTTCAGTAGAAGGTTAAATGTACCAGAATAACTTTAAACTATAGTTCTGTATAGAGCCAAGGGTCAAAATGTTTTGTACCGGAAAAAGGCTGGTTTGTCCAACCGAAATTTAGTACCACAAATTTAAAAATCTTTCTACGTTGCGTCGCTATTTGCTTTTGTATTCTTCATTTTCTATGTTAAGCCGATCAGATCACTATTGATCCAACTTCGCTGTCCGGGATTGCTTGCTTAAACATTTTAAAATGTTCAACAGAGATTAGGATTCTTTGCTCCACCTATCTGAAATAGGACTTTGCCAGGGCCGGGTTTGCCACTTCTCTGCGATAACTGAACTAATAGAGAATATTCTATTTCATTTGGTTTCACAATGGGGTCTTATCAAGCATGTCTACTAAGCCATGTCTTGCTGTAAATACAGTCAACCCCCTGACCGTTCACAGACAACTCGGTGAACCCTACGTGCGCTTTAGGCGGTTTCGTATTACGCCCGAGGCGGACACGTCTCTGAGGCGTGCAGTCGCCGTCTCTGCGTGCGACATGTGTCTGCCTAAGAACCGAGTGAACAAGAAATTGACTGTGTGTCGCATCTATCTCGAACCCACCGCAACGAATTATCACAATAACTAGAAATGACTCAATTTACACGTAATAGCAAACTTGCTCTTCGGTCAGAACTCTCACCAACGGTTTTGTACATGATGGCGGATAGTAAATGAGTCTCACCTTTTTCGTGTAGTGCCTTCTTCGATATTAACTGGTGTATACAAAACCTCCTTTGCCTCACTACTCATTTTTCTAAGTATACAGCCGTAATCAAGCAAAGATGAAGAAATGTTGTTGAGAAGGTATGATCTTGACCCCGTCCAGAACTGTTTTTTCTGCTCTACACTAACCCACGTCCCTGTACAAAATTATGCGTGCAGATACAAAATGCAATGTCATTACCCAAACAAAGGCGTCACACGCTTCGAGTATTCTATCAAGGGACCCAGCGAAAGAAAGTCACTTACAATAACAATTTGCTGTATATAAATAAGATACAGCATTTCTCTTTAATGATTTGAAGTTCCGCTTTTGTGGCAGAGGTTTTGATTAATTATTAACCTTAGGGTATCACCAGCCATGGTGTTGTCCTCACATTCTCAGCTTGCTCTAGGGGATCGAGTCAGTTGGTGAGGAACGCGAAGGAAGAAGTTTGCGCAATTGGACGAAGCTCTTTAACCAACCGAACGCGAACGTCCGTGACAAGTCGGGGTTTTCTAACGACTAAAGGAAGGTTTTCGCACGGGACATTCGTCTTAGCATTTCTTTCCCTACATCTTACCCTATTTAACGACGGAATGCTACAGTTTTAAAAACTGACCGAGCTATTTCTGTATAAGAATTCATGTGGATTAAGGCCCAACGAACAAATACATGCATAATTGTGTTTTTTCAGCTCATTGCTCGAAGGACAAATGCTACGCAGTAATGTTATCCAATTACGGGGCGCCGACACAGTTTCTTCTGAGCTTTTATCCTGATTTATTATATGGCTGTTTCACAAGAACTAGGAACTACAGACTTTTGATTGAATTTGATTTGCTGAAATCGCCATTGACAGCGGGCTAGATTTTCCCATCTACACCGGCATCTAGAAATACAAAAAATATTGAAGAATTTCTTTTGGAAAAAGACTGATGAGAAAAAGAAGTAAAGAGGACGAGGAAACTTTGGCAGATTTAAGCTTAGCTAATCGCCGCTTGCAAGCAAAATGTCAGCTAATACAAACCAGTTACATCAAACTTATTGAATTTTTCTTGTTTGCTGATAGCAATCGTCTAAACTGAACCGCGTGAACGCCAAGACCTGGGTCAAATGGTCACTAAAGTGTGTACATTATACTTTGAACTGAATTGGACAAGTTTTTCTTGACCTGCACCATTATAAAACCTCTATTTCAACATTTTGGGATAGGTGGAACTGCAATCAGGGATGACTTTTCAAATATGTGACCGAGTTAATCGCAAGATATGTTGCTGGAATAAGTGGTCCAAATTAATAATAATGATAATTAAAATATTTAAACAGGGAGCCCACTTCACTACAAGATGCTCTTCAGTGGGGCCCTGCATGAATATATATTAAAAGTTAAAATAAAAGTCAAGTTAAATGTTTAAAAGCTTAAAGGTAAAATGCATATATACATCAAAGGAAAAAAACATAAATATAAAATAAATAGAGGATATTACACGGTGGCGAGAAGATATGAATTTTATGTTCGAGTGGCAAGAACAATATCTCACGAGTGAGCGAAGCGAACGAGTGA